ACATTAATAATTTTCTTACGGGGGACACAACGAGAAATAAGCGGATCCAAAATTTCGTACAGTTTTGCAGTGCAAACATTTACATCCGAACTAAGGAAGAAATCAGTCCAGTCGTAGGAATTAAGGTATGTTAATTATTCGGTTGAGCGAGTTGATCGGAAATCGCGGAAAAAGTTATACTTTGGGGACAACGTTTTGTTAGCCTCGAATTCCAACGCTGAACTAACTATGTCATGGTCTGAACCCTCTAGTGGGCCTAGGGATGACACTGACGATGACATACAGCCTCCACAAAAAATTAGGTCAATTATGCTTGATCCTCGGGTGGGAAAACCGACAACCTGATTCCACATCCCAATATCCACAGCCTCAAGAAAGTCTTCGAACCTTCTGGGGCCTGAAGGCGGAGACCAGCAGACTTCAGGGAGATTAAAATCACCCGCAACGAATTGACACTTAAAGCTTGAGTCGGCCGCAGCATGAAATGTCTGTGAGAGTAAACGATCAAAATTGTCGTTGGCTTTCGGAGGGCGATAGATGCAGCCAACGAGTGAGGAGAACTTATTTTTTAGTGCAACCTGAAGCCAGAAGCTGCCTTCCACTGCGATAAAGTGCGGGAGGTCCAGCGGCAAAAATGTAAGTGTTTGCTTAACGTAGACGCAGTTGCCCCCACCACGGCTGTCTTGGCGATCATTTTGAATGCAATTATAGGCTAGAAGAGAGAGTTCGGAGTCAGCTTCTGAGGCTAATGCCCACGTCTCAGTTACTAAAACAATATCTGGACAATGGACGAACACCAGAGTCTGAAGCAAAGGCATCTTATTAAGCAAGGTTCTGGCATTTAAAACAAAAATTTTGAAGTGAAAGGCTGTTTGTTTCTGAGGGAAGTGGGTTACATCGTCTAGTTTTGTGCTGCCCACGGAGCAAATGGTCCGGATGCAACCATCCGGTTCTGCAAAAAATTTTGTGGCATCGAAAAATTCTGACGTGGATAAAAAGGGCTAGGACTTGGGGGAGGGAATGACGGGCAGGTGAACTGGTAACCATTGTTAGCTAACTTATTTTCAGCTGGAAATCCGCTGGCCAGTTACGGAAACATTCCCGCCGGAACGAAACTGAGGATCGGATGAATTAACTGATTCAGTATGGACATTAGCATGAGGAATACATCGGTAAAACAGCCGTGGAGGAAACAAGTTAGGGGGTGGGGGACGCATTGTTTCCACTGGAGCAAGAGTTTTATTAAACGGCGGGAAAATCGGCATATTCTTCCTAACTGCCTCGATATGAGGGCTAGGGGGCAGTTGGGAACACGCTACGTTTTGAGTCGGGGTATTTAAGGCACTGTTAGCCGATTGTGGAGGAAAATATTTTATAATGGTGCTGGATTTATCGGGTGTCCGAGTGGCTGAGACAGCAATTGGATTCGCCTTTGACTTAGACACATGCTTAGGCTTACTAGGGTTTGCTGAAATAAGTCGATAGAGGCGTGTTTATACCAGGCGTGATGGTGTGTTTAAAGAGCTCAGCATTAAAAGTTGTCGAATTCCCTACGGAATTGACTATGCCGTGATGTGCAGATGCCGCAGATGGTGTTGTAGAGGACTTATTCAGACTAACAGTAGTTGTCATTATCTTGATGCTGGTTTTTGCCGATTTTAATTTATTCAGTCTTCGCTGCAGGGTTGTGAGGTCTGGCGAAACGGAGCAGCGCCATTTACGGCAGAAGTCTCTAGTTATCTCCCTACTCGGCAAGGTAAAATCGACTTCTATCATGGAGAAAAGGGTAACTAGTATCGGCGCATTACGGATAAGCGAGCGCAGACGTTTAGCTTGTGCGACACTAGAACTCAAGCCACAACTTTGTAGGAACAAATGCGCTCCCTCCATAGCAGATAAGTGGCTCAGATTGTTTCGCAATACGAAATTATGCTTGCGTTTAATTCTTTCCTCCGTTTCCGAACTTATTATCCCAATAACTTTAAAAGCTTGTTCAATTACTTTTTCAGAAGTGCTGTTTATGTCCCAAAAATCAACTGGTCAACTGTTTCGCCGGCTGATGGCCTGCTACGACTAGCAGAGGCGTATTTTTGGACGACTGAACCGTCAAGAGGTTCTACATGTACTAAAGAGATTTGTGAGTTAATCAGATCTGCAGATGGCGAAGAACATACCCTGGCACCTGCTATGTCTTCAGTCACGATTTTAGCACCCAGAGACGGTGGGGAGGCCGCAAGCTTTCGCCTTTTAGCACGTGCTCTGCGGGGCATTACAGACAAGAAAAGTTTTTCGTTACAGAAGAAGGATCAAAACGTTTCCAACGTACGGAAAAGCACACTGAATAGCAAGTACTACTGTTGTTTAACTACGAAAACTAGAAAGAGATAGTAGGGGAAGGAGTCACTCCAAAGTTTTTTTTACAAAATACGACTATTTTGCCAGACTGTCAAACAAAACTGGGAAAAATTTTACCTTATATTGAAAGACGACTTTTAAAGGGACTCAAGTAAAAAACAGACATTAATTGCTTAATAATATCCAGATAAATGCAAAGCTTCACTTATCTTTGAAATTGAGCTGCGCGCCTTGACCTTGTATATTTGGACACTTCATCAGCACGGTTATCTACTGTATAGGCCCTAATGAATATTACCGCTTCTTATTCCAACCCTCTTGAGAGTTATTCACGCCTATTTCCCTCAATTAACTGGACTAAAAATAAGGATCCCGGCAATGAAACCTGAGGAACACCACTTTCAACCGCAGCAGGACTTGATTTTCATTGACCGATGAACACAACCTCGTGCCGACTCGCAAGGAAGTTTTCAATAAACTTTGGGAAGTTACTTCTGATCCCTATTCGTTTAGCTTGCATAAGAGTCCCTGGTGTGGCACGGTGTTAAACGTCATTTGAAAGTCAATGGAAGCGATGTAACGTGTGTCTCTCGTTGAGAGCTCGAGTCCAGCCCTGTAGAGATTGCAGCAGACTTGTCGTGCAGAATCTTTCTTTCCGGAACCCCCTTTGGCAGTTCGATCGTAAGTTGTGGACTTCCAGAAATTGCACTATTTCGCTCTTCAAGCTCCTCTTCATAACTTTTCTGAGAATGCATGTCGGTCTTATGGGCCTGTAATTTGTCGTCGAGGACCTGCTACCGCCTTTGTATGGCAGCTTCCAGTCGATCAAAAGTGTTCCAGCATCATATCCTGTTCGGAAGAGCATTTACGGAGGTACATAATGCTCACTGGCTAGTTCTTTGACAAGTTTGGGTGCGATCTCCTCTGATCCCATGGATTTAGATTCGTTCAGCGCCTCAAATGCTTTCCGAGTAACGACTTCTGAAAAAAAGATGTCACAGGAGAAATCTGCGATGATCGACAGCGGAAAGTCATATAGCTCCTGAATCGTCGTCAGAAGTAATGCAAAGTTGATTTTTGAAAGATAATTTTCAAGCAAAAAATTTCCAACGAGCAGGAAGTTTTTTCCAGCGTATACTGTGGACAAAAGTGCTGCATCGGTTTTATAATCACTCCCATAGTATTTTTAATGAGTGTGTAGAGCTTTTATATAACCACTTTATGAGTGTATTTTATGGTCACATACGCAGCTTCTGTTCCTATTTGCCTAACCGCTCCTATATCGTTTTCCCTTCACTTTTCACTGCCATAAATTTGGGTATTTGAAAATCAGAAGACGGTGCTCTTTTGCTGAAGGTTCGGTCAGCAACGGAAATGTTTTACTTTGTAAACCCCTTATTTATGTCTGACCTGATGCTGCTTATACTTGCATTCTCACATTCCACCTCGACCTACCCCAACGCGACCGGCGTCACAGCCTTCGTCATAGTGCATTCAGAAAAATGACACAAAGCTCAAAAATGGTTACCATTGCCGTGATGTAAACTAGCTGCCCTTGCCGAATGTCTGCCATTGTAACTATGCTTTCGTTCTCGGTGAGCAGGTTGATGCTTTCATGATTACTCAACCCCGATGTTTGGTCTAGCTTTACTTTTGGCCTGACCAATAGCAGTAGGCTGTGACATGATCACTTAGACTGCCATCTAATGTGCTGCTTTTTGGGCATGTCTGTTCGAGCGACTGGTTTGAGACACTTAAGTAGATTTCGTCAGTGTAATATTTGTCGACTTGGTGCACACGCTATTCATCGGAGTTTGTGCCGTTACTTTGGCCCCACCCATGTAACCTACACTGCTGCCATCCCCATAAGATATGCGAATGGGCGCTCAAGTTAGATGAATCATGCTGCCATTTTAGTCCTGCTCGCTTATATCCCCATAGGCGCGGGAGTTGTCCACTTCCCAACAGCACGCTGTTTGCGACATTTATACTATAACTGTAGCTTCGAATTTAAGTCTTCCACTCAAATTTTGTGGTAAGGGATGTACTTGCCGATTTTTTACTCACCCCTGCATTCTCCTGGCGGTTGAATATTTATTGTTAGCAACTAATGGTTTCAAGCGGTGCCGGCGCCCAGTGTATCCAAGTTCCATAGAACAGCCGAAAAAAGAAAGCAGAGTTCTGCACGCAACGTTCATTCGGTCGCTTATTTTGGCCTGACTGACCTGTGGATTCTCACATGGTCCCAGTGAACTGCTCAGGAATTGTCGCTCACGAATCGGTGTCTGAATAAATAATATCCCTTTGGTACATTTAGACTTTAGTGCATTGGGAGAACTAATGCAATATTTGGTGGGAAATTCCTTAACTGTTGCTAGTTGCCATATATATGGGAAGCCCAGAAATACGTTATTTTAGAATAGTTGTGTTAAGAAATTTTAGCTTAGGTTAAACTGGAAACATTTTTCGTGCGCGGAGGCGCGTCTGTCAAACTTGGCGCCATATTGGCCATATTTGTTTTTGAATATCTGCGTTGGGCTGCTGGACCTCCCGTGGATTTCAAAGTAAAAAGTGCAGGAGATTCCTAGCAATTATTGCGCACCTGTTTAATTTCGGGACTAATTCCCTCCTTTTTTTCCTAGGTAATGCCGTCGAAAAAGACCAAAGCTACGGTAAGCTGAACTAGTATGTTGCTAAAATTCCCTGGCCGGTTCCTTTGAATTCCACGATCTTGCATTTAGTCTCGCTCACTTAACTTTTTTGCCACATAACACCACAAACTCAATGCTCAACATGGCTCAGTTGACTTTAGTGCCCCTCTCCTTTGACCTTCCTCGAGCTTTGTACTATTTTACTCTACTGAGAGGGTTACCATTTCTTGTAGAGATCACGTAGCAGTTCTCGGTCGAGGGGCCGACCTGTCTCTAAAAAACGATCGCCCTCTCGGAGGTCGGCCTCACGGTCATCTAGAGCGCGGACCCCGGCCTCAGAGTCTAAGGTCGTCAGGCGGCGATCTCCTAGCCTCTCAGATGATGAGCGAGCAACATCGCCGGTAAAGCAGAAGAGACGCGATGCGCGCCCATCCTCGGCCAGCAGGGCCGTTAAGTCTTCGTCCAGATCCTCCGTAAGGCTTATTGAAAAACTAGAAGCCCTTCATCCGAGTGAGGCCAAGTGAGTTGCTTCGATTGACAATTTGCCCTTTTCATTATCGATAACTTTAGTAGTAGTGCTGTTGTTGGCCGATTGTTACCGTGTCACATGTGGGGCACTATAAGATCGCTTTTACTATTTCTGAAGGACGGACTTGCCAAAATCTCGCTATGGTGGTACCAAGCCAACTTCTTCCTGTTGCCGATTCACCTCGTGGGCCGGGTCCTTCCTATGTTCCGTTTATCACGGTATCTTCTCAGAGGCAACAGGTTGCTTCCTTGCTACTCTGCTCCTGCCGCTCATCGTTTTCTATCTGAATTTTTTGGTACTGACTCCGACCACTTCTGACATTGGCACGCACCTAGAGACGCCTTGGGGACCGGGTGTGTCTTTCTTGGGCGCTCTCTGGCCGTCAGTTATTCATGTATACTTCGACCCATACGCCGCTCTCTATGTCTTGGGTTTTCTCGCGTTCACAATGACCGTTTCGCGCTTCATGCCTTTTGGACGGAGCTTCACTGTCATCGCGGGGGGTCGTCGCACTGACGCAAAGGTTAACGGTATGTTCGGCTTTAACATTTTTAATCTTTGCTCCCTCGTTTTCGTTAACTGTAGTGCATCCAATCACTGATAATTGCAAGAGCCTATTTTTACTCCCGACTCATGTATAAGCCTGTTTGTGAGTGATTTGGCAGCCCTAAATTCAGTAAGACGAGATTGTTAAACATTGTTTTTATCACATACGCCCTCCTTACAGGTTTGATCATCGGCCTCCTCTGTGCCATCATAATGGGCCTTATTCAGTGGAAGGGCGACAACTATGTACATGGCCTGCGACCGGCCAACTTGTACCATCACTGGCCAGGTCTCCTGACTTCATGCACTTTCCTAAGTCTCGTTATTGGGCAGTTTGCCTTCTGGCATGCTGGTGGTTTCCAGCGTTACCCCTTTTTCAGCAAGAATCCGGGTGAGCTCCGTTTTTTTTCCGATGCTGTTTTTTAACCATTAAACATTCTTGGATCTTACTGGTTCTAATTTCTTTACAGGGAGAGCCATAGTCAACTCATTCCACGGGCTCGAAGTCCGCCCTCGTGTTTTTGGGTGCGATTTTAAGCTTCTTCTGCTCTACCCATCTATCATTGGATTGCGGATACTCGAAGTGGCCCTAGCACTGCGCCAATATGATGAGCGTGGTCGCATAAGTCCTGCCCTTTTCACGGTCATTTGTCTGCACGGCATTTACATAATCGACTTCTTCGTCTTTGAGCCGACTATCCTCAGTTCGTTCAAAATGAACCATGAGGGCTTTGGAATCTTCCAAACCATCCGGCTCTTCCTCGTTTTTCCTTTTGTGAGTGGCCTTAATTCCTTTTACCTTGCCGTCAACTACGAGGCCGGCCACCCAGATGCCCAGCTAAAGTCCTATCCGACTGTTCTCCTCATCGCGTCTGTCTCCCTCTTCTTGCTTGGCTTGTGGATTAAGCGTGCCTCCAGCAACGAAAAGTATCTCTTCAGGCGAGATCCACAACACCCGAAGTTCACAGGTGGGTACATTTTGCTCAACTACTGCAAGTAGTGTGTCGTGCCGTTTTCTCACCCAAGAGATTGGGGTGTACCTCTTCTAAATGGTTCTCGCACTTTAGGCATGAACAGCGTCCCAACGAGTTCCGGCAAGCGTCTACTCGCGGGAGGCTGGTGGGGTCGCGTGCGTCATCCAAATTATTTGGGCGAGGCATTGATTGCAATCGGATGCAGTCTGCCTGCAGGTACTTTTTCCCCCATGTTCCTTTTTCATAACTGTTTTTTTCTAATGGATTCCTGATTCATATCTTGTTTGAAATAACAGGGTTTACTTCCGTGGTACCATGGATTGGCGCAATCGTCCTTATCCTCTACCTTATGAGGCGTGCCGTGGTGGTCGAGCGTTCGTGCGCCACAAGATACGTGTCCGCCTGGACCAGGTACACTGGCCTCGTTCCCAAGCGCTTCTTGCCTCGCGTATACTAATGCAGCTTTTAAGACGTTCTACATCGAATTTTATGTACATTTAACCCTTCTCGCATTCTATTCAATCCCCTCTTATGTATACATACTATGTTCCCACACGCCGAATTTTGTATAGTCTCGTGCATGCGTGTCCCAGCCCGTATGTCCGTTCGGTCCCTTAGACAATGATCGTCCTATTTTGTTAATATATGTACGTCGCACCAAAATGGCAGCATTTTTACCTCCCTTAAATTCAAGCCTCTTGTTGGCTGTCCTATTTTGTTAATGTGTTTTTATGTGCAAATATGGCAGCACTTTCCCTGTATTCGGGTTTTCGAATTATTTCACAGTACGTGTAAACTAATTGCTTTTTCAATGAAAATAGCGTTTACCTGCCTTCTTATCCGCCAGCTTAGGTGCTATCGGCTTTTCCGCTATGCACGCACAGGGTCGCGTAGGGGCATATTCTCCCACTCGTGTTCGCGAAGTCAGGTTTTATGCGCGAAAGCTGCGCGGAAATCGGTCTCCATCCGACAGAAGTCACGAGAGCTGGTAGATACAGTGGATGCCAAGGACTTGTTGGTCGTTTGCCGGGAATCGAATGAAGGCGACTTCCGTCTGACTGACCTCCAGCCGATTTCGTGGGCTAGGGGTGCTGTTTGGGAAAACTTCACGCCTGTGAATTGGTGGTGAGTTCCATCTTCTTGTCTGGCGTCCACCACGGGCGGGTGGTTGTGCTGGAAGGTACATTTGCGAACTTGACTGTCTCCCGAGGACGAGATTCGGGCATTGGGAGTGGACCTTGTCGTGTGCCGTGCCGGCATCACGTCGTCATCGCTCTGATCCCGTCCTGGCTGCAGTTCCAGCAGGGTGCACCGCCAGTGTCCGGACATGGCCAAGTTAACGGACGCTCTGCAGTCTACTAGTACTCCACTGGTCTCTACGGAGCGTTCACGGACGGACTCGCGCACCGATTCTGTGCTCAGGAGGCTTACTGCGTTGATGCCCCCACAGTCGTGTACATGCTCTCAATCTGCAGCTGCTCCGGTCGGCCGCAGGTGGTCTGCATCGTGAATGATCGTCCCCCACTGCGGTCGACAGGCGCCGACCGGCGGGTAAGGCCAAGACGGTCGTCGCACATCGTACACCTGGGGGTCAGCTGTGTCCTCTGGACACGCCTCCGCTGACAATCCTAAAGCTGCTGGTGGTTACTGCCAGGCGTTTGTGTCCCTAGGTCGACGCGGCCGAGTCCTTCCATTCGCAGCGCGAGCATGGCCTTCTTGGAAGAACTGACTCTTGTCCAGTCACATGACCCACTATCCGTAGCGCGATCGTTGGGAAGAATCCGAAGCGCAGGGCACGACCACCATCGGTGGAACGCTTCCATTTGGAAGGTACCTTACGGGCGTACCAGCCCAGCCTCACATCACACAAAAAGTTGCTTTGCGGGCCCCTCGTTAGGCCCTTTGTCTGGCTTTGAGCCGACCCAGCAATGTTCTATCAGGTCTAACGGGGGCTTTCCCCGCCATTAAAACTGGACGGCTAACCGCCCGCGGGACCCGTAACAATCGCCTTCGTTTGTGCGACGTTTATCTTTCTGCTCACCCCACTTCTCGGCGCTGCAGCCTTGCGAGGACCAGGTTGATCCATTAAAGTCTGTAACTTTGGTGATAGAGCGGTCCTAATTGACACCTTATGGCCCTCCAAGGAGTGCCATTAGGGTTCTTATAGCTAGTTTTTTTGCCAGTGACCGTCTAAGTAAACTCTCGACCAGTGCACCCAAACGAAGCAGAATCTTCCCCGTGATCAGGGGGGTCATTTAGTGTCTCTCCTGCGACTTTGGTCCTGTTTTGTGATTGTAGACTTGGACGAAAAGCAGCTGCTCCGGCAGTATGTTCTCTATGCCAAGATCCACAAAACAGGCAAGAACGGACTACCTTTAAAGATTGAAGCATTCGGGATTTGTCAAAGCGGGGAACCGCTGATCCACACAGTCCTGTCGGAAGCTCCAGTAACCCCGTCCTTCCCGCTCATTGCAGCACCTGCAGAGACTACTGAATGGGTCAACTGCGTAGACTGAGACAGCGACATCGAAGGGACTTACACCGCGGTGGGTCTTGTAATCTATCGTGCACAGTAATTGGCCCCTCGCCCATCCATCAGTACTGGTCGGATGCTGATATTATAGATTTCACGAAAGTGGAGACAGTTGTTTGGTGTGGTCTGCTCTAGTCAACCTTTAATCCACGAGAGGGGGCTATCAATGCAGAAAAATGTGTCCACTGTCTTGATTATCGGCGGACAGTACACCGACTCGACTCCATGACCTAAAATTGTGCCCTAACTTTTTTGCTATCGCAGCTCAGCCTGCCAGGCGCTATATTTAATCACCCTCGTCCTCCCATTTCTGCTGCTGCCACCCTACAAGACGAGTCTGAATAACTACAGTTGCAATTCGGGTCTCTGATTTGCGGAGGAATCTCTGTGAGCACAGGAATTTCGAGTTAGTCTCGCATCAAATACGCTCTAGTCATGGGGCCACCCTGCTTCCGTCGCAAAAAATATAATTTTAGAAAATATGTACAGTGAGTGACCATGAACAAAAGTAAGCTTTCTTTTAGTCAATTAATAGAGAATCACATCTTTATATTTTTTATTCAAGGGAGGAGTATAATTAGGTTTAAAAAAGTTTCTAATTATGAAATTTTCTAAGACCGCGCAGTGTCCATTCACATAGTATATTACCTGGCCGTTTATGACAGCTCCTCGTGAAATGTACAGCATAGTCCGGATCCACTGCAAAATTTTATAAACTCTATATGGTTTCTTCCTAAACGCATAGAGGAATATGTGATTCTCCTAACGTAAAAAGCATGCACCTTGTCAACTGAAATCGCTAAACGCTAATGCAATGACATATCTGGCTCAAAATTATTCGGGAATTGGAAAACTTTTTTAAAACCTAATTATGCACTTTTTCGGGCATAAAATATAAAAACAATGTAGTTTTCTAACAAACAAGTAAAGAAAGCATATTTTGCATGTTTTCTATAAGAAAAATATTTGAGTTTATATATTTTATAGAAACCACAAATAAAAAATATGCTTTCTTTTAGTCAATCAATAGAGAACCACGTCTTCTTTATATTTTCTACTTAAGGAAGGAGTATAATTAGGTTTTAAAAAAGTTTTTTAATTGCCGAAAAATTTGGAGCCTGATCATTCGTTGCATTAGCGCTTAGTGATTACAATCTACAAGGTGCATGCGTTCCGCTTAAAGAAAATCCCATATGTTTTTATGCCATTAAAGAGATATTATACAGGGTCCATAAATTGTTGCAATGGATGCGGACCATGTTGTACATTTCATGAGGAGCAGTGGTGAACGACCAGGTACGATGCTATGTGAATGGACATTTCGCGGTCTTAAAAAGTCTCATAATTAGAAAAATATTTAAAACCTAATTGTACTCCTTCCTTAAGTATAAAATATAAAGAAGACGTGATT